TGTAACCAAATCTTCAGCGTGTAAATCGAATATAGACGCAAGTCTGGCTGCACGCGCACACATCTACAGTTTACATGTGTGTGTGTGTGTGTGGAACAATTTTGCGAGCGCTTCGCGCGCGCTCAAGTTCTGCATGTCTTGGGGCCCAGCGCGTAACACTCGAGAGGGTCCTTGCCCGAACAAACTGGAACAGCGAGTCTCGAATCAAACACTTTCGTGGGCGAGTACACGATTCGGGTTAATGCTTGGATTACGGCGAGGGTGGTACAACATGACAGCCAATCCGCATAGTAAGGATGGTCGATTTTTCAAGGCTATCCTTGCATCCTTGCCCTTCGGCCTGTCCTTGGCCGCTGTCGCTCGCAGCGCCCCGCTCGCAACGTGTTTCCGCGTATCCTCACTATACGGTATGACTGCACAAGTCTTAAGAACGTAGCTCCCCCTGCTGCTGCCCCTGCCCCCAGCTGCTGCCCTTCCCCCAGCCAAGGTCGGGGAGCGAAGGAAGGAGGAACCAGGAGGGAGCAGGGAGGAGGGGCGAGGGGCGAGGGGGGAAGAGGAGAAATGATGGGGGGAGGACGGCGAGGGAATAGATTAGGAAGAGGAGGGCGACGCAGAATTAGTCCGACGAAGGGACCCCGCATGAGAATATGTTTAGCTTGCCCTTTACCCTTTTCTTCCTCGCCTGACGGACACTCTCCTCTCGCCCGCCGTTCTGCCCTCACCTAGTCCCCCTCCTTCTATGTCTCCTCCTCCTCCTCCACTTCCTCCTCATCACCACCCCCTCCCTACCCCTTCCCCGTCCTCGTCCTTCCCCTGCTTCTTCTCCGCGCGCTCCTCCCCTTCCCCATGGTCGGGGCAAGCACATTGATTTTCCTCGGCGCCGTCGCCGCCGCGGCCAGAGCGCGCGCATTCCCCGACGGCTGGTTCGCGAAGCCTTTGGGACAACCCCGCGGGCCGCTGGGGCGCGGGGGCAGGCGGTCGGGACAGCCCCGCGGGCCAAGCCGTTGGGACAACCCCGCGGGCTTCGAGCGGGGCGCAGCCGCGCTCAGGCGGGAAGCAGCATGAACCCAAGCCTGGTTCACAATTCACTCACAGACGAGGCTCCCGCTTGACACGTCCTCCAAATTCAAGCCTGAGGAGCCCAAAAGTGACGACATATACAGGTTGCCGATGACCCGCTCGGATTACCAACATGAAGTGCGGGACAGATAGGGAGGGGGCTCCCGCCTGAGACTACCTCGCAATTCACTTACAGACGAGGCTCCCGCTTGACACGTCCGCCAAATTCAAGCCTGAGGAGCCCAAACGTGACGACAATTACAGGTTGCCGATGACCCGCTCGGATTACCAACATGAAGTGCGGGACCCATTGGGAGGGGGCTCCCGCCTGAGACTACCTCACAATTCACTCACAGACGACGCTCCCGCTTGACACGTCCTCCAAATTCAGGCCTGAGGAGACCAAAAGTGACGACAATTACAGGTTGCCGATGACCCGCTCGGATTACCAACATGAAGTGCGGGACCCATAGGGAGGGGGCTCCCGCCTGAGACTTACTCGGGTGACATAAGCGAGTGACGGTGATGAATGAGTGAGTGAGTGAGTGAGTGAGTGGGCGGGTGGCTGGGTGAGTGATGATGATGAGTGGTGATGAGTGCGATGATGATGATGATGATGGTGGTGGTGATGATGATGATGATGATGACGATGATGATGACGAGAGGGAGAGTGAGAGAGAGAAGGAGGAGGAGGAGGAGGAGGAGGAGGAGAGATCCTGCGCGAAAGGTATGCAGAGAAAACAAGAACCCCACTTAGGATGTGGGGAAAAAGAAAAGACAAAAAAGAGTGAACAGGGTGACAAGACAGGTGAGAACAATGAGGAATATGACGAGGAAGGGGAGCACGTTGGGACGGATGCGGAGAGTGATGATGAAGGTAATGACGATGAGGATGGCGCGGCACAAAAGGAATTGCAGGGATGGGCAAGCGGGGTGCTCACCGTCCTCTTCCCATTTCTCTTCCACTCCTCCCCCGCCACCTCATCAGAATCCTCAGTTGGGGCCCTCGCACGGTCATCATTGGACGTCTGTGGGCGCTGATCGCGACAGCGATGCTGGTCGTAATCGCCTGGTAATATGATGACGGTGGTGATGGCTCAAGTGATGACAGCAATTACGATGATGGCGATGATGGTATCGGTGGTCAACCTGATGGCGCTCGCTGCAATGAAGGCGAAGGACATGCTGATAATGATGGATGTGCGGCGGTAGTGGTGCTAGAGGGGGCGGTGGTGGCGACACCGATGGCACTTATTACGGCGATGGTGGCAGTGGCAGCCTAATTTGTTGCAGCGATGATGCAGCCTGTCCAAGCGGCGGTGGTGGCGATGATAATTCAGGTGGCTGTGATTGCGTTGATGCTGCTGTGCCGCGGTCCTTCTGGAAGTGAAAGGGGTGATGACGGCACTGGGTCCAGGTGACAGTAGTTACCATGGGGGTGCTCGTGTTGGCCCTGGCGGTGAACGATACTTACGCAGGCCGACCGAATTTTCTCTTGAGCCCCAAATGTCGGAAGCGACGTGCCGTTCAGGTGAGCGGATACATGTAGCGTTCTTTTCGGCTTCGTGCCTTCCCGGAAAATAGATGGATCATTGGTTTTCATACACGGGAAATTGGATCTGCGCAAGGCAGAAATAGCATCCACGACACTGTCGCACACCCGAAAAACGGATCCAATCTGATCCATCGGATTTCTGATATGTTTGATCCAGGAAGAAAGCGTTCGGCCTGGGGATGTATTGTGGTCCAGGGGGTTGGCGACTGTTCAAAAGAGGCAAGGGCAAGGAACTCGGGGTGGGCGGCATCAGGGGTACGGCAGCACATCTAATTGCGTGGGCGGGGTTCCATAAGATTACGTTGAGTGGATTTGTCGGTCCGTTCCAACCTCCGGCTCGGGGAGGCACTGCGCAGCCCCTCGCCAAAGCGACTCAACCGAACATGGCGGTGCCGACCCTTGTTCCGAATGCAGCGGCAGAGAGAGGTTAGCCCGCGTTCGCAGGGCCACCCCTTTGGGCCAGGAGAAGAGGGAACTCGACATGACTAAAACACAGCATGATCACACCGACGGCGCAAATCCTGGCACGGATGGATGTCGTGCGATCCAGGATGCACGCGACAGAGGTGAAGGGTGATACGCACATACAGAAATGCAGACATACATGTGTACGATGAGAATATGCAAATAGACACCTCTACACACGTATACATGTGATTAGAGGTGTCTATTCGGAAAATTGGGGAAAAACAACGCGCCGAAATTCGTATCACAGGAGGGGCCCTTGACCCAACACTTGTAACAGACACAATAATGGGTGAGGGGCACTTTTCAAAATGGTGTTCTCGTCCCAACACAACTGAGACTCGCCTTTCAAACTTGCAACAACTACCTGGAACGATGGGGTCGCGTTCAAAATGGAGATGAAGCCTGAACGCCACACAACGTCGTCCTAAACATGTTCAACGAATACATATTGGGAGGGGGGGTCGTTTTCAAAATAAGGCCCTTGCCCCAGGGCCGCGAACATTCGCTTTCAAGCGTGGCAACAGCTATCAGGATCAAGGGCAGTTTATTTATTACGTTGGGGTCTCGCCTTAGCGCCGCGCGCACTCGTCGTAAACCAAGTTTGCAACCATTGCAAGGATGGATGGCGGCTCCTATTCAAACTGGGGCTCTCGTTCAAGACTTCTCCGAATTTGAGTTAATGGCCAGGTGTGAATGCTTGCGCAACAGCTGCACATGAGCTCGATCATTTTTCAACTTTGGGATCTCGCTGGACACCTCACTGAGCTGTAAAACCATATCATTACAAATTCTACTGTACTCGCTAGAGCGATGCACGACAGATCCCTTCAAAGCAGGGCTCTCGCAGGAACGGCAGGACCGTACGGTCCTTGTCTTTCAAAGGGGAAGGCTCTTGTAGCAAAAAGGACTGCAAGCTTGTAGGGACTCATGAGGAGAGGCTTTTGGGCGGGAGGCTGTATCTCAACATCGTTGACGCATCGTGGGTTGACTCAAATCCTTGGACGCCCGAAATGGATACGGAAACATGGGTACAACGCCCAACAACAAATGTTGTCCCAAACCAACAGCGGCCGCTGTTGGGCAGGCGGCCTTCTGTCTCGAATGGACACAGGCCGCGGCGGCGTGGAAAGCGAGTCCAGTTCAATATGAGCAGGAACTGCTGTTGGGCATTGTACCCATTCTTTCCGTACCAAGTTCGTTCGTGCCGAAGGTCTTCTTCCACCTCCGCTTCATCCTCATCACTCCTCCACCCTACGCCCTCCCTCTCTTTGCGCCCTCCCTCCACCCTTCTCCTGAGCCTCCGAGACAGCCTTCGTCCTCTGCCCTCCGCCTTGCCGCCTCCTCCCCCACCCAGACTGTCCGACTCCTGCGCATCTCAACACCCACTGCACCCGAAAAGGGCAGACAAAGGAGGAAGAGGGAAACGGAGAAGGATGACGATTGCCGGCGAGGAGGAGGAGGCGGAATCTGTTGTATGAGATGCGCAGAGTAAGTGGACGAAGAGGAGGAGGAGGAGGAGGAGGAGGAGGAGGATGAGGAGGAGGAGGAGGAGGAGGAGGAGGAGGAGGAGGAGTAGGAGGAGGAGGAGCAGGAGGAGGAGGAGGAGGAGAAGGAGAAGCGGGAGGAGGAAGGGGGGCGGAGGAGGAGCCACAGCATGCACGCTGACGCGAACCATCTTTATCAGAAGGCGTCGGCGTCGAGAAAGGAAGCGCCGAGAGAACGCCCCTGCATTACTGAAGGGGCCCTGGGACACACAAATAAATGCACAAATAAACAGATTCCCCATAGTTTCCCATATTTTCTGGATTGTTGTCTTCCCCCCCACTTCCCATATTGTCCCATCTTTTCTGGGGAATCGACGATTAATTGTGTCTGTGTGTTTTTCCCCTCCTGCATCACCAAAGCAACATCCACACACGTCCTCGTCTTCGAAGGGGATCTCGGAATTGATAATCTCGAACAGCACCATGGCGTATGAGTACACGTCTGCCTGGAGACACGAGCGCTGCCTCACTCTCTCTCTCTCTCACTCTCTCTTTCGCGCTCTTCCCCATGTCTCTCTTTCTCTCCCCCTCGCTCTTGCTCTCTCTCCCTCTCTCTCTCTCTCCCTCTCTCTCTCTCTCGGCGCCGGGCAAGGTTCGCCCTGTTCAATGTGACTGGGGTTCTGTGAATCTGCTCGCGCTCCTCAGGAAGGATACGATGAGGCAGCCGTGGGACGCTCCAAGAAGAGTCCTGTCTTGGGCCGCAGCGGCCACCTGGATGGCCCCAAGAACGCCCAAGCGGCCCCCTCATAATGGTTCCCTGACGGCCTGAGAAGCCCTCCTGGCAGTCCAAGAGGGCCCCAAGACGGCCCAGGAAACCTGTAAGACATCTAAGATGGCCTCCAAGACGGCCCTGAAACGCCCAAGGGGGCCCCAAGTCGGCCCAGACAGACCCCCAAGATGGCTTCCGACGGCGTCAGGCGGGCCAGGAACGCCAGCAGTCGGTCAAAGAAACTCCTAAGGAAGCTCCAAAAGCCCTCAAGATGCCCAAGGAATAGGCCCGAAGAGGCCTCTTCCTCCTCCTCCTCCTCCTCCTCCTCCTCCTCCTCCTCCTCCTCCTCCTCCTCCTCCCCCTCCATTTTCCTCCCTCGCCTTCTTTCTCCCCCACGTGTTCCCCGAAGTGTTTCCACAACGGCTGAGGAACGCATATTCCGATAGCTTAGCCGAGCACTAGCCGCAACGTTCGTCCACATAGGTGCTTCAGAACGCCAAGGGTTGGCGGTGATTCGCCAAGAGCGTCTTCGATCCGCCGCTCCTGTTGACTTGCCGCAAGAAGTGCACAACGTGCTAATCGTTGGATACGTTCTGGTCCTTCTAAGATTCCCAGATTGGTCCCGGCCGACAGCGCTGGCCACCCAGAAAGCTCCGCCAAACGCCCGGGTCGTCGCCCTTCCCGCTCTAGACGGCCTCAAGATGACCTCCAAGACTGCCAAGATGGTATCCAAGACGGCGTCCGCGGGCCCCAGGAAACTCCAAAATAAACCTAAAATATCTCCAAGACGGGCCGAGATGCCCCGCAATGGCCCAAGGTGGCCTCGTTTGCCCGTTTTCGGCTGAGGGCCCAAGACGGCCTCAGAGGTCACCAAGATGGCCCCTACGAGCGCCCAGGAGGCCTCCGAAATGGCCCTCTGACGGCCCAAGAAGGCCCCAAGACGGCCACGGAGACCTCCAAGATGTCCAAGATGGCCTCCAAGACGGCCCTGAGGTGCCCAAGGAGGGCCCCAAATCGGCCCAGACAGAACCCCAAGAAGCTTCCGACGGTCAGGCATCAGGCGGGCCAGGAGCGCCATCAGACGGTCAAAGAGCCTCCGAAGCAGCCTCCAACAGCCCTCAAGATGCCCAAGGAATAGGCCCGAAGAGGCCTCCTCCTTCTCCTCCTTTTTCCTCCCCCGCCTTCTTTCTCCCCCACGTGTTCCCCGAAGTGTTTCCACCACGGCTGGGGGAACACATAGTCCGATAGCTTAGCCGAGCTCTGGCCGCAACGTTCGTCCACATAGGTGCTTCAGAACGCCAAGGGTTGGCGGTGATTCGCCATGGGCGTCTTCGATCCGCCGCTCCCTGTTGGCCTTCCGCAAAAAATGCACAACGTGCTAGACATTGTATACTTTCTGTTTCTTCTAAAATTCCCAGATTGGTCCCAGCCGATAGCGCTGGCCACCCAGAAAACTCCGCCAAACGCCCGGGTCGTCGCCCTTCCCGCTCTAGACGGCCTCAAGATGACCTCCAAGACTGCCAAGATGGTATCCAAGACGGCGTCCGCGGGACCCAAGAAACTCCAAGATGGACCCACAATGTCTCCAAGACGGGCCGAGATGCCCCCAAATGGCCCAAGGTGGCCTCGTTTGCTCAGTTTCGGCTGAGGGCCCAAGACGGCCTCAGAGGTCACCAAGATGGCCCCTACGAGCGCCCAGGAGGCCTCCGAAATGGCCCTCTGACGGCCCAAGAGGGCCCCAAGACGGCCACGGAGACCTCCAAGATGTTCACGATGGCCTCCAAGAAGGCCCTGAAGTGCCCAAGGAGAACCCCAAGTCGGCCCAGAGAGCCCCCCGAGGCTGCTTCCGACGGCGTTGGGCGGGCCAGGAACGCCGTCAAACGGCGAAAGAGCCAAAGCCCCCGGCCCAAGAACGGCCCCAAGAGGCCTCCAAGAGGCCCCCGGGAAGCTCCCAGAAGGCCCCAAGTGCCTCAAGAGGCCTCCTCTTCTTCCTCATCCTCCTCCCCCTTCTCCTCCTTCATTTTCTCCCTCTCCTCCTCTTCATCCTTCTCCCCTACGTATGCCCCGAACAACGGCTGGGGGAACACACAACCAGATAGCTTAGCCGAGCTCTGGCCTCAACCTTCGGCGCCACATAAGCGCTTCCAAAGGCAGGGGGTGGCGGTGATTCGCCGTCGGCGTCTTCGAGACATGCCTCAACCAACTATGCTCAGCGTGCTCGAGGCCCCTCACGTTGAGTGTAACTTCCCCCCAGATCTGGCACTCGATTGCCAAAATGTATACACGATCGTATATGTTGGACTCGATCATGCTGGATCCTATCGCGCAGGGCCACCCATAGTGGGCCCTAGCGCGTGAGACTCTATCATGTGGGACTCCATGGCGTGGGACCCTATGGGGTGGGACCCTAACGCGTGACGCATGGGACCCTACTGCGTGAGGCCGTACCGTATGGGGTTCTACCTGGTGGGGTCCTATCGAATCGGTGTAGGACACGATCAGGAACCTATCGCGTCTGTCGTGCGATACGCCATCGGGCGGGATCGTAGCCTATTGAAACTTGTCGCGTGGGACATCAACGATACGGTCCCACGGTAGGGTACCAGCTAGAAAGCGGCGAGAACCAGCGGCAACATACACAATCCAGTCGCAATGGGCAACAAATACTTACGGAGCAGATAATGCGTGCCAGCGTGGACCTCAGACGTTGAATTATTGCACGGCGGGTGCGCAACTTCTGTGGTGCAGTCTGCACTCTAGGTAGTGTGAGCTATGCTGCGCAACCTCTGTGGTGCAAACTCTGTGATGTGGGCTATCTGGGCGTGAGATCAGCGGAGCAAGCTATGCGGCGCAGTCACCTTGATGCAATCTATGTTTTTTATTTTTTATTTTTGTATTTGTTTCTCACAGTTTGTTTTGCCTTGCTGCAATCTATGTGGTGTGAACTATGAGGCGCCCACGGCCGCCCCCCAAGCGACACCTCGCCACGCTGGCGAGAAGCGGCGCGACGTCCCTCCTCCTCCTCCTCCTCCTCCTCCTTCTCCTCCTCCTCCTCCTCCTCCTTCTCCTCCTCCTCATCCTCTTCCTCCTCCTCCTCCTCCTCCTCCTCCTCATCCTCCGCATCCTCCCCCCACTCCTGGCCCTTTCGATCAGGGTCGGCGGCACCGGCCGTCAGGCCTCTCCAATAGACATTGGCACTGGACGACGACACCATGTGCAGAAGCTCTGAAACCTCCGACCAATACCCACTAGCATGCCTTACGTCGCATCTCTCTCTCTCGGCCCATCACTGCCTGCTGTTTCCCTTCACCCCACATCGATCAACAAAAAGACGGTACGGCCCTCTCGTCGTAGTAATGCCCCATGAGGACCTCAGGCGCCATAATTTCCCATCCTGTTCCTCCGCCTTCGCCTCGCCTTTCCATGCTCTGCCATTCCTGCTCATGATCCTGCTCCTTCATCCCGACTCCTTCTACACATATATATATATATATATAGATTCCCTCTTGTCACACCCCCAGACGTGTCCGTAGGACGGGCCCGGCGTTTCGCCTGAGACTTCCTCAATTGTAAGACCCTTAAACAAAACATCAAACAAAATCACAGATGGAGAGCGGACCGTTTTGAAAATGTGACCCTCGTTTCAGCGCCACGCGCATTCGTCGCAAAAATGCAAGAGCTTCGCGGATGGAGGGCGGCTCCTTTCCGACATGTGGCTCTCGCCTAGGCGCCGCGGAGTCTCGCTTTGGAAAAATGGGAAGCGTGTCACGGATTGAAGGCGGCACCTTTCCTAAATGTGGCTCTCGCATCATCGCCGCGCACAAACGCTTAACATGCTTACAACAATGCCACGGTTTTGTTTGGTTGAAGCCCCGGGAACGGTGTTTTGGCGCGAATTCGGATTGACAGGGCAGACATAACGTGGAGTCGCAGTGTTGAAGTCCCAGGAATGGCGTTCTGGCCCGATTCAGTATCGTCAGGGCGCAGCAGGAATGTTGTTTCGCGGCGTTGAAGTCCCAGGAGTGGCGATTTGGCATGGTTGAAGACTCTCAGACTGTCGTCTTCCAACGGGAACTGCCCACAGTGACAGTAACATTCTTGTAGGGACCTGTGATAAGTGAGTTTGAAGGGAGGGTGTGTTGCAACATCGTTGATGAGTCTTGGGTTTGCACTGGTCCTCCTCCTCCTTCTCGTCCTCCTCCTCCTCCTCCTCCTCCTCCTCCTCCTCCTCCTCCTCCCCATCCCCTCTGGCCCCCCACAGTGTCCCCAGAACCATCGCGGGAGGCGACTACACTCCAACTGCTAGGCGCCACGCGGCGCATACACGCTTCATTTCAGGTCGGACTTTCCTTTGACATGACGGTCTGCTCTCACCTCCACGCCATGCGAAACATGTTCGAGGCCGAAGGTTTGGGATGTGGGCGCTCTGCTCGGTCATCTGAGGCCCACCCACACTGGATGGGACAAACACACAATGGAAATCGAACGTCGGGTTTCAGCGGCCACTCCTGCGTTTTAATGCTCTCCGCCTGTTTCGGCGTGCAAGGTAAACTTTCGAAACAAACTTATGATCTTCCGGGCCATCGTCTTCAGCACGCTTGTCACTGGGCTTCCAGCTTTCGCCTTGGGCAGAACGGACTACGAAGTTCTCCAATCCTGCCTGTGCCGACTCGCGAGACAAATCATGGGGGGCAGCGCGCGCACCAAGACGCTGGTGGACGGATCTGTGCGCTGTCGCTCCCTCACCAGCAAGAGGACGCGCTCAAGCACATTGGTTTTGCCAGGGTCCAGACAGAACTCCGGAGATTGAGGCCAAGACTTTTTCAGCGCGTGCGTAAAAAAACATCCAGAGAAAAAACACGAACAATATGTTTCGGGGGCGGCCACGAGGGGGGAATCCAAGAGGGGGGGCGCAAATCATGGCCGGCGGCATGTGCGCGGCCCCGGGGGCGGGGGGCTGGGGACGTAATGAAATAAGAAGAGGCGCCAAGACGGGGAAATGTGATGGCCCACGCCATGATATTCACCCCCCCTAGTCATCACCCCCCTCTTTGCCGCCCCCGAAGAACATCACGACCAACATGTTCCTGCCATGCTCGGCCAAGTCGTTTTTGCAAGGCCGACCCTATCGCGATGCGCTCTCAGTGCTTGACGCTTGGGGATGCGTCCGTGATGGCCGAGGCGTACTCCGGTTCCCCATTCGAGCTCGTCGTTGATCCAGAGTCGGGCGTTAGCAGAACTGGGTTTAGTGAGACCTGGTTTAGTGATGTGTACTGGGCAATGCCCCCCCCGCCCCATTCCACTAACCCGAACTGCCGTCACCCGAAAAACACCAATTACGGCAGACCTGGCTTAGCGATTCCAATCCATATTTTGGGCTTCGGGTCCCAAACACTAACCGGCTCCCCTTAACCGGGGTCCTGTTTACCAAGGTGGATGTTGCTCAGCTACGACCCAAGGAGATCACAATAGCAATCCCTCCTCCAGGCTCACTCACTTAGGGAACCGAACTCTATACACCGACGCTTGTTCCGGCCCTGCACCGAAATTCGCACAGGAAAGCGGATCCTTGTGTATTCGGGACCCTGGTGTGTACATGTGTTGCTGGTTCCTGGGGAACGGAACAACAAGTATACACCACACCGCCCCGACGTCGCCCCCAACCCTCAAAAAGTCCTGGGATTGAGAAACAGCCCGCCACTGGTAATGTATATGTCCCGATTCCCGATCACTCACTCACTCATGGCGGTCGATAGTCGTCCTCCTGGCTACTCCCCTCCCTCGTCGTCCCCACACGCCCGCGCACAGAGCACCGACATGCTGGTGGACGATTCCCAATACGAAAAATTGTTGACAGACCACAATATGTGGAAAACGGTTTGCTACGGCACATACACTGCTCACGCACAAACGTCTTTAGACGAGCGCGTTCCACTACTCGCAAAGTAACTACTCGCAAATGGCCTGGATACGCCGCGGGGGATCTACGAGAAATTACCTACGTCAAAGCCGACATCTGTTTTTAGGACGTTTGCGACTAGGCAATTTGCGAATAGTGGGACGCGCTCAGTGAATCTTGGGTCAACTGGCTCACCCGGAAAGGTGGTGCATGTGTCGTCCCTCGTCGTCACGAATCAGTGCCCACTGTGTTCTTCTCCATCCAATCCGCGTGCGATTGCGGCTTGGCACTTGCGTTCCAGCTACAAGGATGGCCAGTGTGTCATTGATCAAGCATTCTTACCTTTGCCACCGCAACATGTGTATGACATATGATGCCCGTTCTGTGACGAAGTCCTTCTGGATGTACAGTCGTACCATTGGCATGTACATAGTCACATAATCCCACTCTTCTGCTTCATTTCAGTTACCGCACCGGACATGCCTTCCTCCGATGGACCTGGGACTCGATTCCGCCGCAGTCGGGGGGCCACGCCGAGGGCCCGGGCAGTGGATCCGGGCCTGGGGGACAAGCGGCTCCAGGGCAAGGATGCGCAGATGATTCTGGCCAAGCCTGGCCTGGACATGCAGTGAGGGGGCTGCGCAACCTCGTGCTGGATTGCACCCAGCGTCCGACCAACCACGATTAATTACGTGCAGCAGGGCTGCGCGGGGACCGAGAAGCGGAACGAAAAGTTCCAGAAGCTCAAGGAGGACGGACGGTCCCGCCCGACGGAAGGCCCGCGATGCTCGCGGACTTCGTCGCGGCGGGCGAGCAGAACAAACTCGAGAGAGTGGAGAAGCATTGCTCCGAGGGGAAGAACGCTGGGCAGCTCTTGGAGACCGTCACGTTCGTGCGCATCAGCAAGATCTAATACAGCGAATTGTGGCGCCTCAAGGTGAGGGCCCCGGAGCCGCGCGACAGCTACGCGATCTACATGAGTATGAAGGCGGACGTGCTGACAATCACTGGCAGCGCAACGCTCACGGGCATCGCTCCTCCTGGGGACCTCAGCCGGAAAATCCAGGAGTTCATCAACAAGGACGAGGGGAGGTGAGTCACATTGCTTCGCCTCCTCCTGCGCCATCCAAGCAATCCGTGCGCATTGCGGCCGCCGTGCGTGGGGCCAATACTGAGCAGCCTCGCCAATTCGCACGAATGCGTGGTGTAGAATTGGGGAGGCCCAGGCGAGCGCCCGTCGAAAGGACCCCCCCCCCAAGAGAAAAACCAGGAATGGCACGGCGCTCGCACGGCCGCAGCCCGCCGCGGGACAGCCCCCCCGAAGCAAGAGAGGACCCTGTGCGAGCCTGTGCATTCTACAGTAAAGTGCACAAGCTCGCACGATGTAAATCTGCAGCGAACGCTCGCACATCTACAATACACACACACATATATATATATATATATATATATATATATATTCCTCTTCCTATATTTTTACAAGCCCGGGGGGGGGGGAAACCATCACCCCCCCTCCCCCCCAAAACTGAATCCCCGGGATCTGGGGTCTTCGGGCTCCCTGGGACGTCCTTGGAAAAAGTCATCCGGGTTTCCGGGCCCCCACAAACGCCTTGCCAGCAGACCCAGAGCGATCAGAGGGGTCATCAGAGAGGCTCAAGGGAGGCCCCAGACAGCACAAGAGCGCTCCAAGAGGGACTCTGATTGCTTCAGGACGGCCCCAAAGACCCCCAAGGCACCCCAAAGAGCTTTCCAAGAGGCTTTCAAAACGCAAAAAACGTCCCATTCCCTTTGTAAAATGTACAATTATAGCATATTCGCCTTTCGGTTTTCATCAGCTTCCAAGACGGCTTCAAAGCCCCCGAGATCGCCTCCTGACGCCCCAAGAGGCCCCCAAGAAAGCTTCAAGACGGCCGAGCCGGGCCCCACGATCGCCCACGAGAGCCCCAAGACAGCCCATAAGGGACCCAAGAAGACCCCCAAGGGCTCCCAGCACAGACCCAAAAGGGCCATGGGAGGTCCCCGGAAGTGCCCAAGATGGGTCCAAAGGGGCCTCCAGCGGGCCCAAGCTCCCCAAGACAGCCCAAGAAGGCCCCAGGACGGCCCATGAAGGCGCCAAAACGGCCCACGAGGGCCCCGAAAACACCCCCACGATGCTTCCGAATGCCAACATAAAGACCCCCAAGGCACCCCAAAAAGCTTTCCAAGTGGCTTCAACACACAAAAGTCGTCCCAATCCCTTCGTAAAACGTACAATTATAGCATATTCGCCTTTCGGATTTCATCAGCTTTCAAGACGGTTTCAAAGCTCCCGAGATCGCCTCAAGACGCCCCAAAAGGCCCCCTAGAAAGCTTCAAGACGGCCGAGCCAGGCCCCACGATCGCCCACGAGAGCCCCAAGACAGCCCATAATGGAACCAAGAGGCCCCCCAAGGGCTCCCAGCACAGACCCAAAAGGGCCATGGGAGGTCCCCGGAAGTGCCCAAGATGGGTCCAAAGTGGGCTCCAGCGGGCCCAAGCTCCCCACGACGGCCCAAGAAGGCCCCAGGACGGCCCACGAAGGCGCCAAAACGGCCCACGGGGGCCCCGAAAACACCCCCACGATGTTTCCGATTGCCAACATAAAGACCCCCAAGGCACCCCAAAAAGCTTTCCAAGGGGTCTTCAAACCACAAAATCGGCTCATTCCTTTTGTAAAACTTACCATTTTAGCCTATTCGCCTTTCGGATTTCATCAGCTTTCAAGACGGTTTCAAAGCTCCCGAGATCGCCTCAAGACGCCCCAAAAGGCCCCCTAGAAAGCTTCAAGACGGCCGAGCCAGGCCCCACGATCGCCCACGAGAGCCCCAAGACAGCCCATAATGGAACCAAGAGGCCCAAGCTCCCCAAGACGGCCCAAGAAGGCCCCAGGACGGCCCATGAAGGCGCCAAAACGGCCCACGAGGGCCCCGAAAACATCCCCACGATGTTTCCGAATGCCAACATTCATTGATTTTGCTCCCATGGCATTTCACATTGTGACCCAGTCGTTGAGGGTCTCGTGGCATGCAGCGAAGATGCCCGAGGATGCCCCGTACGAATCGCATATGCATGTCCATACCCTGACATACATAAATATATGTGTACAGATGTACGCTGTATACATACATGCAACAATGTAAGTATATTGTATACATCTAGGCATGTATACGGAACGTACATGCATGTGCGGGTGTATACATGCATGCGCGCATGTACGCACGCATGAATTCCGCGTGCGTGCAGAACTCAAAAGACCAAGGTGCATGGCGCGCAGCGCCAATGCAGTCTTGTATATATATGTATATATCATGCGCCGGCGCGGGCCCGCTGGGACCACCTCCTCCCCGCCGCCTCCTTTGCCTCGCCGCCTTGCCGCTGCTCTCTCCCCCATGCTTCCCTCTCCCGCGACGCCCATCACTGGTCCTGGTGTGAGGGGGGGGAGGAGGATGAGGAGGATGAGGAGGAGGAGGAGGAGGAGAAGGAGGAGGAAGAGGAGGAGGAGGAGGTAGAGGAGGAGGAGGAGGAGGAGGAGGAGGAGGAGGAGGAGAGGAGGGGAGGAGGAGGAGGAGGAGGGATGAGGAGGGAGGAAGGAGGAGGAGGAGGAGGAGGAGGAGGAGGAGGAGAGAGGAGGAGGAGGAGGAGGAGGAGGAGGAGGAGGAGGAGGAGGAGGAGGAGGAGGAGGAGGAGGAGGCGGAGGAGGAGGGGAGGAGGAGGAGGAGGAGGAGGAGGAGGAGGAGGAGGCGGAGGAGGAGGAGGAGGAGGAGGAGGACGAGGAGGAGGAGGGGGAGGAGGATGAGGAGGAGGAAGAGGAGGAGGGCCTCGCTGATCTTCCATATTCCCACGTGCGCAGCAGCGGCGCCCCGGTGCTCGAGACCGCTGCGCCCGGGCCCCTGGCATGGCAGGAGGGTGGGTGCCCCCGCCCTGCCGTGGGGCGCGCACGAGCCTTCTGCGCTTCGGCGACCGCCGGGGCCCGCAGGGCCTTCTCGGCGCACGCCGTCTGCAGAAGGAGAGACCATGGATGAAGGGGCCCTGGGACACACAAATCAATACACACACAACTAAAAACGCTTCCCCCTATTTTCCACATGTTCTGCCAACGACTACCCCCCCTCCCGCCCCAAGGGGCCCCCAAGAGCACCCCGAGAGGCCCCAGGGGAGCCCAATACGCCGCCAAGGGGCCCCAAGACGCTCCCAAGAAGCCCCCAAGAAGCCCCCAAGACGGCCCCAAGAGGCCCCAAATAGCGCTCCAGGGCCGGCGGAATGAGCGAAGCGATTAATACAAACGTCTCCCCATCATTTCCACATGTTCTGGGCTTTCGTCTTTCCCCCCACTTCCCATACTCTCGCATATGTTTTCTAGGGGATCGACGATTCATTGTGCCTGTGTGTTCCTGTTCCCTCCCGAAGAACGAGAGACCATGGATGGCTCCTCTGAGGTCCGGTCCGCTTCGCGCCTCCACGGGCTGGTGTTTGGAGACGGCTTTTCCTGGGGCAGGCGCTCCACAGCTTAGCACGTTCGACAGTTTTTCCTACATGTTGCAAGGAGGCCAGAATCATAGGGGAACGAGGAATGGCATAAACATAACAACTCGGAGGTCCGCGCGGATTTCTCGGATCGGCGCTGGACCCCGGCCCTGACCTGGCGCGCGGAGCGCGCCAAGGGCGGCGCCAGAGGCGCCGCCAGGGGGTCCAGCGCGGATCCGAGAAATCCGCGCGAACCTCCGAGCTTTTATGTTTATGCCACTTTCTGTTCCCCTATTGATCTGGTGTGCCCGATAGCCTCGAGATCAGCCATCGTCGTTTGGTTGCCCCATTCAATCACAAGCAGTACCCCAGGCCGTCCATGTTTCACCATGTGTTTTGGGATGTAATATGGCTGCACCTCCAGACGAGGTACTGACCTCCAGGACAGATCCAAGCGGCATTGCTGGAAATCCTGCATACATGCCTCACGTGTCCCCACACGAAATATTCACTTCCAGGACAAACCAGCGGCAACGTCAGTCGTATTACATACTCTCCATACGTACGCGTGCCTAGCTTAATGTTGATGCGACCTGTGCCGGTGGTGTGAAGGGAAGTTTGCCAGTAGTACCAACGGTTGCTTAATATATTGCGAGCTTATCCGCCCTATCGTATTCGTTATCATGTGCCAAATGTGCTTTCCCCAGCTGGTTATTCATGTGGCATGTGCCGGTGATGTGATGAGAGGGGGAGAGCGATAATAGCACGACATCTCCTCCATGCAGCATGTCGTCCGTCTGCTCTGTGTATACCTATGTGCGGTATTCGACTTGTGTACATATAGCTACATGTTTATAGAGCTTACGTACATGCAGACATATCTGCATGTATAGTTGAAAGTGTGCCTGTGCAAAGGTATTCATGTATATTTATATGTATATATATATATATACATAAATTACGCTAGGTTGAGCCTGTGGCCTGCAGGACACAGGCCGCCTGGCGGTAGTGTCGAGGGTCTTGCATATATCGCACATGTGATATGCAACGCTGCTGTTGATGTACTTTGTGCCGATGCTCATGCACTGCAGTTGTTGCATGCATGAGCTTAGCACGACAACTCCTTAGTTCGGAAAATTGTCCGCGCTAGCGGTTCCGCTCCCACACAAGGCGTTGGTCTCCAGGACACAGCCCAACGGCCTGGCTGCATTGCGCACGATGCGTAATTACGTGTTTTCCCAAGCTTGCTGTTGATGGGAGTTTCAAACGGAACTGCACGAGGGTGGCTTTTATTAGGTTTGCGGAATGCACAGGTGCTCTCTGGCACGCCGAGAGAATATGAGAAAAACCCGGCCCCCTGCACTCCAAAGCATTCGCGCTCCAGAGCATCTCACGTCACGTCCGTAGCATCACCCATGGGAGGCTATAGCAGAACGGGATTCCCACACATTTTGCTTCAACGCACTGGCCCGTACATAACATTATCAGGTGGCCATTCTCTGCCGGGAGATTAACCCATCCAGTAATAGGTAACACTTCCGATCGCTTATAGCGGATTCTATAGATCCCCCCTCCTCCTCCTCCTCCTCCTTTTCTTCCTCATTTGTTTTCTCCTCCCTTCTCTTCCCCCTCCTCCTCCACCATTACTTTTGCTTATAAATAACTTCTCCCTGTCGCGCCCCGAGGCCAGTTTTTTATGGCGGTATGGGCATTTTGCCTAAGACTTCCTCACCGCTTATGGTTCTGAAGCTTAACAATTGGCAACAGTGTCACAGGTGGAGGGCGAGTGGTTTTCAAAAATGTGGATCTCGCCTTAGCACGGCGCACATTCGTTTAACAAATGCAAGAGTTTCGCGGATTGAGGGCGGGTGGTTCTCAAAATGTAGCCGTCGTCATAGCGCGGCGCACATCCGTTTTTATTGTCGCGGCGCACATCCGTTTTTGTTGTTGTTATTGTTGTTGTTAACATCAAACATTCGCAAGAGCTTCACATATTGAGGGCGGGTGGCTTCCAAAATGTGGCCTCTCGCCTTAGCGCGGCGCACTTTCGCTTTTTAGCATTCGCAAGAGTTTCATGGATTGAGGGCGGTTCCTTCTCAAACTGTGGCTCTCGCCTTAGCGCGGCGCACACGCGCTGTATGCATTCGCAAGCGTTTCACGGATTGAGGGCGCGTGGTTTTCAAAATGCGGCTCTCGCCTCGGCGCGGCGCACATTCGTTAGATATTGTGAAGAGTTTTACGGATTGACAGCGGCTCCTTTTCAAAATGTGGCTCTCGCCTTAGCGCCGCGCACATTCGTTTTTAAACAAATTGCAAGAGCTTCACGGATTGAGGGCGGCTCTTTTTCAACATGTGGCCCTCGCCTTAGCGCCGCGCACATTCGTTCTTGCAACAGTTACACGGGTTCCCATCATCTACTTACCAGAAATGGTGTTTTGAACATTTTCAGGATTACGCGGGCGCAACACGTACGTCGATTCGCTGCATTGAAGTCAAAGGAATGGCGTCCTGGCACGATTCTCGACCGTCAACACGCGACAGTCAGGTTGATCCGTGGCGCTGGAATCCCGAGAACAATATTTTAGCATGCTACAGGGTCTTGAAACGGCTGTCTTCCAACGAGGCAGTTCCCTCAATGGGAATGAACCGATGTAGGGGCCTAAGAAGAGGGAGCTTGGAGGGAGGGTTTATTCCAACATCGTTGATGCCTCTTGGGTTTACCCTGGTCCTCCTCCTCCTCCTCCTCCTCCTCCCTTCCCCTCCCTCGCTCCCCGCGTGCCGGGCACCTCGGGCGCCATCCAATTCAGTGTGCCCGCGCATGGGGTCATCCTGCCACGGCGCGGGGGGCAGGCCGAGATGGGGAAGCAGGGAGGCAGGACGAGCAGGGAAGCGGAGGCCGAGCATGACGACGACGAGGGGGAGTCCTTTCGGGGGGGCGCCGCAACAGGAGCGGATGGCCCACGGGGCGAGCATCAGATGAAGGGGCCCTGGGACACACAAAATAAATACACACAAATAACACAAACCCATATAATTTCCCATATTTTAGGGGGTTTTCGTCTTCCCCCCCACTCCCTATATTTTCCCGTATTTTTTCTGAGGCATCGACGATCACTTGTGTCTGTGTGTGTTTTTCTCCCTCCTGATCAGAGCACGGGGCGCTGATCGCCCACGCCCTCGACGAGGCTCCCTGGCACTGCAGTTGGGCGCCCGAGTTATCCGGGGTAACTCGGGTCCGGGGTAACTCGGGCTTGGATTCCCGAAAAAGGAACCCGAGTTAGCCCTGACCCGAGTTACCCCTGATGATTCGGGGCTCTGGACGCCCGAGTTATCCGGGGTAACTCGGGTTTGGATTCCCGAAAAAGGAACCCGAGTTAGCCCTGACCCGAGATACCCCTGATGATTCGGGGCTCTGATGCACTGCAGTGCCCGCGCCTGGGCTGCCCGAACCTCTTGCCTCCGCCGAGGGGCGGCGGGGGCCAGGACTGCCGGCGACGCGCTCCCGCTCCGCTCCCGGCGCGCCCGGCGGCCGCGTCTCCTCCTCCTCCTCCTCCTCCTCCTCCTCCTCCTCCTCCTCCTCCTCCTCCTCCTCCTCCTCCCTCCCCCTCCTCCTCCTCCTTCCTCCCCCCTCCGCCTCCTCCTCCTCCTCCTCCTCCTCCTCCTCCTCCTCCTCCTCATCCTCCTCCTCCTCCTCCTCCTCCTCCTCCTCTTCCCGCTCCTCCTCCTCCTCCTCCTCCTCCGCCTCCTCCTCCCCCCCTCCTCCTCCTCCTCCCCCTCCTCCCCCTCCTCCCCCTCCTCCTCCCTCCTCCTCCTCCTCCTCCTTCCTCCTCCTCCTCTCCTCCTCCTCCTCCTCCTCCTCCTCCTCCTCCTCCTCCCTCCCTCCTCCTCCTCTCCTCCTCCTCTCTCCTCCTCCCCTCCCCCTCCCCCTCCTCCTCCTCCTCCTCCTCCTCCTCCTCCTCCTCCTCCTCCTCCTCCTCCTCCTCCTCCTCTCCTCCTCCTTCCTCCTCCTCTCCTCCTCCTCCTCCTCCTCCTCCTCCTCCTCCTCCTCCTCCTCCTCCTCCTCCCTCCTCCTCCTCCTCCTCCTCCTCCTCCTCCTCCTCCGCCTCCTCCTCCTCCTCCTCCTCCTCCTCTCCTCCTCCTCTCCTCCTCCCTCCTCCTCCTCCTCCTCCTCTCCTCCCCTCCTCCTCCTCCTCCTCCTTCCTCCTCCTCCTCCTCCTCCTCCTCCTCCTCCTCCTCCTCCTCCTCCTCCTCCTCCTCCTCCTCCTCCTCCTCCTCCTCCCTCCTCCTCCTCCTCTCCTCGTCTCTTCTACTTTCCTTTCTCCTGCTCCTCCTCCTCCTCCTCTCCTCCTCTTCCCGCTCCTCCTCCTCTCTTACTCCTCTTCCTCCTCCTCCTCCTCCCCTCCTCCTCCGCCTCCTCCTCCTCCTCCTCCTTCTCATCCTCCGCCTCCTCCTCCCCCTCCCCCTCCCCCTCCCTTGTCCTCCTCTTTTCCCTCCTCCTCCCCCGCCTCCTCCTCCGCCTCCTCCTCCTCATCTTTCTTCCTCGTTTACTCCCCTCGCTTCCCCTCCCGCCTCGTCCCCCGTCCTCCGTCGTGTCAACGCCCAGTTGCGCGTGCTGCTGCTGGGGCGCACGCTGATGCGGCTACCGGGGCGCCCGCCGTCGCAATTGGTCTTGCCTGCCGTGCTCCCCACAGTGCCCGACTCGGTGCTACGTGCTCGTGATGGTCTGGGGGCACGAGGCACTGGAGCCAGGTGGCCAGCTCGATGCCCGAGACTTCTCTGGGCTGACGCTGCGGAAGCCCGCAGCACAGGCAGTGATGCCGGCTCTGGGGCGGTGTCGACTTGCCTCTGCTACTGCACACGAGGTGTATCTGCGCGGGGCGTCTGCCCCCCCTGAGTTGCCTCTTGGTTCTCCTGCCTCGTCGCTCGCCCTCTCCTGCTCATCCCGCCCCTCCTCCCTCATCCTGCTCCTGCGTCTTCGCCTTCGCGTTCTCCTCCCCCTCCTCATCCCTCCTCCTGTAGCTGTAGCTGTAGGCGTAGCATCATCATCGTCGTCGTCATCGATAACGTCGTCGATAACGTCGCCCTCCGTCTTCTCGTCCTTCTTCTCTTCTTCTTCGGAGAGGAGCCCTGGGGTTGAGCAGGCACCGGCCGTCCGGCACTCCTGTGGGTCTACCACGACATGTTCTTCGAACCAAAAAATGTTCTCGTAACCCAAACCGAGTTCTTAGAACAGACACCCGACGTGCTAAAACACGACGCTCCCAGCAAGAAACGCTTTGAGAACATCTCGTGCAAAACACAAAAGTGTCTTAGAACACTCGTTGGCGCGCCCATAGGCAAGCCGGGACGCTTCGCCACTGCTTGATGGGGCCCTCCCCTCGCCCCCACGGGGGAGCATGGGAGGATAGGAGGGCGCAGGAATTGTTCACTGGAGGAACGGACTTGGCATCGCCACGGCAGGATCCTGCCTCGGCGACGCCCGGCCCCCCACCTCTGCCGCCGCGCTAATTACTTCGCCCCGCTCGACCTGGAACCGATGCTCTCTGCTCCGGGAGGCTCCGTCAGATGCTGCCGACCCCATCTCGTTCTCACACGGAGCGTGTGCGGGGGGGACCGCTCCCTGCTGGCCGTGGCGCCCAGGACGGCGCTCCAGGCTGCAACGCCCGCGCCCGCGCCGCCGCCGCCGCGATCGCGGCGCCGCGAACCCCCGGAGGGCCAGTCCTGCTGGAGAGCAAGCCCCACACCCCTCCCAGATCACCACCCCGGCGGGCCTTCCGCACCTGCGCTCGGCCGTGGCCCCGGGCGCCGACCCGACGGCACACTCCGGCACACCCCGAGGCGCCACCGCCGCGCACGAGCGAGGCGCGGCGGAGCCGCCTCCCGGGCGGTCCTGCACTGGCCGCTGTCCGCCGGCTTCGTCCTCGCGAGGCCGAAGTCCGACACCTTGACGGTGACGGGGTCCTCGGGCGACCGGACGGCCTCGCGGGCGCGGGAGGGAGGAGGGCTGCCAGGGAGGGAGGAGGGCTGCCACACGTACCGTCCTGGAATAATCGCAACGGCTGGTTTGCCCGAGTTGGGGGTCCCCCGGGGCCAGCTCATGGGCCCTGGGACCATGAAAGGACAAACAGCGACGATGGACGTGTCCCGGAGCTGTGGGCGAGAGCACAGGGGCACGCGTCGTGATCAGGAACACGTCGTCGGGAGCCTGGGTTTGCGGTGGCCGTGTGACCGGCTGAGAAGCCTGGGGATTCCAGCACTGGCCAGGATCTGCCTTCAACTTCCGCCACCTTCGGCCATTCGTCCGCATTTGACTTATACCCTCGTGCTTCCGCGGACGTTCCTTCTCTTTTTCAAGGCACTCTCCCCCAGGCTGCCTCGTAAAAGGCACGCTTCACACCTCTCAAGGAAAGGTTCCCGCTCAAGGGATACCATCTCAGGTCCCGCGCGTGCTGCCTGGCTTGGCGCGAGCAAGACGTCGGTACGGCCATCTTCATACTCTTCTTCTGGTGAGGAGAGGGCGCTCCCTCCATTGGAAAAAACATGTCTGCGGGAACTTATGAGGAATGGACACGGGACGGGAAAACGTGCTGCAACATCGTTGATTCATCTCGGGCTTACTCTGGTCCCGCTTCTCCTGTATTTCCTCCCGTCCTCCTCCTCCTCCTCCTCCTCCTCCTCCTCCTCCTCCTCCTCCTCCTCCTCCCCCTCCTCCTCCTCCTCCTCCTCCTCCTCCTCCTCCTGCCCCCCTCCTCCTCCTCCTCCCCTCCTCCTCCTCCTGCTCCTCCTCCTCCTCCACCTCCTCCTCCTCCTCCTCCTCCTCCTCCTCCTCCTCCTCCTCCTCCTCCTCCTCCTCCTCCTCCCCCTCCTCTCAAGTGCCTTTCTGGCTCAGGTCGCCAGATTGTTCCCTGGGCTGCACCAGACTCTCGTCTGTGCTCACTTGAGGGCCTCTTTGAGGTCAACGCAGGGAAGATCTCGCGCTCTACTTCGCTGCAATGGCGCCTGCAGCCCCCCCAACTCTCGCGACTGGGGCCAGTGCCTCGGTGGCACCCGCATCCACCTGCTCAGGGAGGCCAGCAGCCGCGCGCTCCAGGAGGCACGCGGCGGTGCAATTCCCGCGGCTGCAAGAAGACTAAAGCGTCCCGTCCGCGATGCAAAGTCTGCTGGGCTCACCGTGCCGCTCCAGGGCACGGGCCGCCGCGTCGTCCGAGCGGGGTCTGGGCCGACCCTGTCGCACGTGGGCGGTGGTCTGCCTCCGCGCACGGTCCTGTGCTGTCTCCTGCTCGTCCTGGCCCTCTGTTCATGGCTGGCGGTGGCGGCGGGCATCATCACGACGGCGGGCATCATTCGGGCGGGCACCATGCCCCGGGCACCCCTGAGAGCGAGGTCAAGACGCTCAAGGAGTCGTGCACGCAGCTTGCTGCCGTGGGCGACACCGAAGGCGTGGCCAAGTACAGGGAGCGTGTTGCCAAGAAGGAGGCGGAGATTGCGAGGCATCGCCAAGCTCCCCCTTTACAGCAGCGAGTCAACAGGGGGTTTCACGACATGCGTACTCTCAAGGGCAGGTTGTCGAAGGCTGTCGGGGCCTATGAGTCGACGGCCGCTTTACTCGACGATCATCGCGGTCGCGTCAAGTCCTTTTCTCATGAGTTGCGTGAAGCGCAGAAGTCTCATAAGAGGTTGGTGGAGCAGCTACATTCGCAGGTGGCGCCCATGCCCTCTGCATCAGTTCTTGCAGGCTTGTCGATCGAGTCAATTCTTGCGGAAGAGGAGGTCAACATCTTTTTTCGCGTCAATCGACAAGTCGGCACATGACCTGTCTGAGGCTGGCAGGAGCATCGTAGTCAGTCGCAGGGTGAACTGCAACAAGCGGTCAAGTAGATGTTCGGTGATGGTATGGAGAAGTTCAAGCAGTTGGAGCAGCAGCAGAAGGACGAGATGGCCAGGTTGGCGGTCAAGAGACGCAAAGGAGACCTCGGACAGGGCCATGCGGGTGGTGCTTGGGCGGACACTTCGAATCCGACGGGGGCGAGCAGTACTCCTGGTACTACGGGACCTTCGATGGCGGATGGAGGAGCGGTCGATGCCGAACGCGGGCCTGCGGACGCTGAGGACCAATCGTCTTCTGAGCGGTGTGACTTGCGGGAGCGAGCTGAGGCCATCGCCAGGTCCTCGCCGCCACCGCCCGTCACCGATGGGCCCCTGCTGGGGGTCGTCCTCGGGATGACGAGGCCATGTCGGATCTTTGACGGCTTTGAACGCAGTGCTGACCCTTTTTTCTTGAGGCCCGTGTCCCATAGGCCCTTCTTTCCTTCGGGCTCCCCCAGGGGCCCTGGGGACCCGCGCTTTGGTCGCCGTCTGGGGATGCCCCACGGGTCGGCCGCGTGGAACAGTTGCTCTTCTGTTCCTGTGCTGGATGTGTCTGGGTTGGAACCGCCCCGTTCTGCTCCAGAATCGCCGTCTCTCGGCGACAAACCGCCCCGTTCTGCTCCGGAACCACCCCTATGCGCTGCTGAAGTTTTTGATATTGGGGTCATCGAGGCTTCGCCTAGGCCTGGTGATCCCAGCCGCCCCCGCCTGGACCCCGACTGTTTGGGCTCCAGATTTGTGCTCCAGGGGCATCTTTTTCGCGCGGTCCGTCACACCCTGGCTAGGGCCGATGCGGCCCTGTACCCTGTGGTTGCTTTGACTACCTACCAGACCACCCCAACCCAACCCGAAGACCCGAAATTCGGGTCGGGGGGGGGGGTACGGATTCCATATGTGTTTTCTCAATGTTCCCCGACCCTCCCCCCACTGGAACTGGAGGGCAAATTTAAGCCTTCGGGTTGGGTTGGGATGGTATGGTAAGTGGTGTTCCTCCATGCCCCTGCAGAGCGCCTCTGAAAGCCCCTTCCGATGCCAGAGGGTACTTTTTGCTCCCCGGCAACGGATGCGTCGAAGCAAGGGGTGGCGCTCGATGCGCCCATTGAGTTATTTGCGTTTCCCAAAGACTAGGCTTGTCCGATCGTCGAGACCCGTAACGTGTCAGGGCGGGGGTCGGGTCAAACCCGGATAGAGAAGACGGAAGCTCAAGTTGTGCTGTTGCAGGAGCACGGGCAAGTCGAGCATCAGATTGCATCTGCATCGCGTTGGGCCACCAGGCACGGCTGGAAGCCGCTGTGGTCGCCAGCTATTACAAGACCTGGTGGAGGACATTCGGGAGTTGTGGCCATCCTGGTGAGGAGTGGGCTCGGGCTACGTCCCCCTGGTTCGGGACATAAGTGGTGCCTGCGCGTGTGGCCGCTGGTATTGTCGAGCGTCCTGGATCCTGTCCCATCCTCATGGTGTCCTGCTATTTCCACGATTGCGAGGACCTTTCGGAACGAAACCTCTCCCTGCTCTCTGCTGACTGCTCCTCGAGGGGTTGGGATTGAGAGTATTGTTGGAGGGGATTTCAACATGGAACCCTTGGTTGTGTTAGGACTGGGTGTGCAAGACTGGGGTAGGCTCACCCTTCTTGCGTCGGGCGAGCACACGTGCCGATTCACGGTGGGCTTGAAGCAACTCGATTTTTTTGTTGGCCAGTGCCGGCGTGGCCAAGGCTGCGGTCTCGGTCGTGCCCGACAGGGTGTCTTGCCTCTCGCCGCACTGTCCTGTCCACGTCACGCTGCATCCCCAGCTCGGCAGGTTGAAATCGTTGGCCTTTCGGCAGGCTCCGCCGTTGCCCTCGGTGCCTCTCCCTCCTGTTTGCAGTTTGGACCCTGTCCCCCACGCCCGTGCCCTCCCTGGCGTTCTCGACGGCGGCGGGGGGTGCCTCAGGGGGGGTGATTTTTGCGAGGCCCAGGGTTGGTTGGACAAGGCCTATTAAACTATGGGCTGACGTCGCTGAGACGGAGGTGGCTCTTGCCACGGGCAGAAAAGGCCTCACGCGTCGGGGGTCGAGGGGCAGGCCGCCTGCCTCAGTCTGGAGCCCTATTCTAGCCGCGCCCCCCCCCTCCCCAGTCCTCTGAACTTCTCGGCTCCCAAGTGGTCGGGTGGCCGCCTCTACGGTGACTGCCCAGGACGCTGGGAGGCCGCGGGCGAGCAGGGCCTCCGCAGGATCTCGCCCGTCCTGCAGCGGACGCGCCCGCTCGCACTGCCACGGCCTAAGGGCGCCCGAGTCGGGTTCAAGGACAAGCTGGAGGCCTTCGTCTCGGACCTGCCCATGTGCGAGGTTGTCTCGGATCCGTGGCTGGACACATCCAAGGTCCTTCACGGTGAGTTCCGAGTGTCTTTTGCCACTCTCGAGGCGCAGGTCAGGAAGGAGGGGTCTACGGAGCTTCGTGATTGGATGTTGTCTACGGGTGATGGAGGAGCTCGGACGGTGCACGTGGTGGCCAAAGGCGCCACGAAATGGCAACCCACGACCACGCTGTCTACTGATAAAGAGGTGGTGTGTGATCCCTTGTCGCTCCTGCACGCTGAGAGTCGCAAGTTAGCCGACATTTGGGGAGACGGTCGTGCACAGGATTGGTTCGAGCATGACCTGTGCTGCGACGAGCTCCCGCTTGTGCCTTTTGAGGCGGTGCGTTTTGTTTTCCAAGGGGTGCAAAGAGAATGCGTTAATGGTAATGGGCGGGTTTCACATGAGACATTTTCACATGATGGGCGATCACACCTTGGAGGGTCTTGTGAGGCTGCTCGCTGCCATGGAGATGTCCTCTCTGCTCCCTGGTCAACTCGCCATCGCGTTGCTCACCTTGATTCCTGAGGCGACCTCCAGGCTCAGACTCCCTGGGAACGTTTTGCGCCTTAATTACATCGTGCCTACGGCCGTGTCCGCCGCCCTCTGTGCCCGCAGTGGGAGCGATCCCACCCTCGGGGGTACTGTGCGGCTGAGCCCTTCCAGGGGGGGGGGCCCACGATGCGGCGTGGCGACAGACCCTGCGTGCCGAGTCCGGCGTGAAGGATAAAAGGTCAGGCTGCGACGGTCCTCCTGGATCTGCACAGGCACTATGAGGCGATTGATCTCCGCAAGTTGTGGCATCGGTGCAAGATTCTTATCTTTCCGCTGGCTCTTGCGAGAGTTGCGGTGTGCATGTGCATTCAGAGCAGATGGCTCAGGCTTTCGGGTTTCACTGACGGGCCCTTTTGGGCTTCCAAGGCTATAGTGGCTGGTTGCGGGTTCGCGACGACCCTGATCCGCGCGGGCTCCATTGGGGCCCTGGACAATCTGAGTCTGCCGCGCCAGGTGCAATTCAAGTTGTACATTGACGATTCTGGCCTCTCTGCGACGGGGTCGTCCGAATCCATTCGGACCCATCTCCCACCGACTGTGAAGTCCCTGCACAAGGTCTTGTCGGAGGAGGTGGGTGCGATTGTCTCAGATGACCCTGGGAAGAGGTCGCCCGTTCGTTCCTCGAGGACGTTGGACGAGGAGCTCGGCGCTCGCCTTGGGGGCTTGGCTGGCCCCCGCGTGCCAAGTGCGGCCAACTTAGGTGTTGGCGACGCCGCGGGCAGGGCACGTCGACGCCAAGGGGGATCGGACAATGCCAGAAGTAAGGAGAGAAAGTCCGGGAGTTTTTGTGCCGGCTTGGCGCGTCTGAGGCCCGCGGTCGGGGGCCGCGTGGCCCGTCGTGCGCTTGCCGCGGGGTCCATGGCTGGCATTGTGGATGCCATGACAATGGACACTCCAACAATCCGATCATTGAATTAAAGATGTGTTTAAACTGTGTCAAGTATGTTCTGAAATGTTTCAAACATGTTCCCTACCTAGGCTCTGCCTAGAAGGGTTCTGACCCTGTTCTCTTCAAGGGCCGGGCAGCGTAAAACGCCCCGGGCGGTTCCCCCGGCATCCGCCCGGTGGTTCCCCCAGTGACGTCCCCTCAGCTTAGCGTTGCTTATATCATCTTAGCTTAGTTTATTTCATATTGGCTTAGCTTAGTTTCACATTAGCTCAGGTCTATCTTAGCTTACCTTCATCTTAGCTTCGCCGAGCAATAGCATAGCAGAGCACAGCATAGCGTAGCACAGCGTAGCGCAGCACACCATTTCATAGCATAGCATAGCATAGCATAGCATAGCGCAGCACAGCATAGCATAGCATAGTATAGCGCAGCACAGCAAAGCACAGCACAGCATAGCACAGCATGGCATAGCATAGCAGAGCATAGTTTAGCATAACACAGCGCATCATGACATATAATAGCTTAGTATCGCACAGCATCGCATAGCATAACATAGCATAGCGCAGCATAGCATACATAACATAGCATAGCATAGCGCAGCATAGCATGGCATGGCATGGCATAGCATAGCATGGCAACTAATGCTGCTTTCCTAGGGGCTCCAACTTCTAGGTAGGGTCGCGCTGGGGTAATTTTTAATACATTCAAAACATAGTTGAAACATCTTTCAGACATCTGGAAACTATTTGGCAGCATGCTTCCTCTCCATTAAACCGACTTCCACAAGGCTAGCAACCTTCTCGGGGCCGACATTCACGGGCTTACGGATTTGGAGCTGTTGCAGTGTCGCCGCCAGGCGGCCTCTGCGCTGCAACCACTGGCCCGAGGAAGATCCCTCACCCGTCTCTTGCTGGCCAACCAGGAGCCGCGCTGGCTCGCGGCGGTAGCGCCGATCACGCGTTGGGCCAAGGAGGTTTGGATCGCCCATCATTCTCTGTGCTCGTTTTCTGCCCCCTTGACCGAGCTCAGAGATGCTTGGGATGTTGGCTTCCGCGGGGAGTCGGGGCATTGGAAAAATGTTTCTGGGCCTGTCTCGCCCTTCGGAAGTCCTGTGGGCGTATTTCCTGGAAAATGGAAACTTTTGCGACGATCACTTCGGACCAAGGAGACAAGATTGTGCTTACTGAAGTTTCGCCCCAGCTGCTGAAGACGCTTCTCAAGAAAGCGGTTATTCGTGGACCGGAGTGGGACTTGGGGCAAACTTAACATGAATGAGAGGGCGCGCGTCGATGGAGTTTTGAGATGGCTCCAGAGCTCTCGGCTCAGTCCCTTTCAGGAAGGTTCTGTGAAGTCTTTGTTTTGTAACGCCATTTATACTAGGCAGCGCGCTGCCCACTTAGGCTACGGTACACCGCCCACGCTGCACCCGCTGCGCATCGACGCGGAAGGCAAACTATGGCCACGTTTATGGCAATGTGCGGAGGTGTCGAACGAGAGGGAGGCTTTGGTCGAGCACGAGGTGAGGAGGTGGGCGGAGGACGCGGACGACGTGCTCGCGTGCTTCGGAGTTGTTCAACCACCCTGCCAAGTCTGCCCCTCGCCCTCTTCAATCGGGTGGTGCGCAGGTCGAATGGGTTTCTCCTCCCGACGGGGACTCCTCCACGCTCGACAACGTTGTCGTCGGGATATATTCACGGACGGGTAATGCAACAAGAGGGTCATCTCCAAACTCGATCGTGCGGGTTGGGCCTTCTCGCTCTGGCATCGTGACACAGGTCCCGAGATCGTTAGAGTGCGGGGGCCAGTCTGGCCCCCGTGTCCACAGACGGCACAGGCCGCTGAGTGTCACGCTTACTCGATCGCGTTGCAGTGGTCGAGTGGTCCTTGAGAATTGTTGTTTGACTGTAAAGCCTGCGTTGATGTTCATGCCCTCCGTGGGAAGAGCAATGCTGACCTAAGCGCGCGTGCTCTGGAGTTGCTCAATTTCGTTGAGAGATTTCCCAGCGGTGCAAGTGCACAAAGTCAAGGCCCACCAGTCCATCGAAGCGGCCGAAGATAGCTGGGATCTCTACTTGCGTAAAGGTAACCATGGTGTCGACGCTTCGGCGAAGCAAGCTGTGTTGACCACCCCACAGCCCGACAGCACGGACCTTGAGGACGTAGATCGCAAGCTGGCCATTGCGAGAGCTGTGGCATTTTGGCCGCGAAGCTACCACTTTGGCCGCGGCTCGATCCAGGGCCGAACGTGCAGAGGGTCCCTGTTGCCGCTCCTGTGAGCAAAGAGCAGGGTCCGACGCGCGCTTGGAGCTGGACGGGACGTGTTTGGCATTGTTCTAGATATTTTCGTGGATCTCGTTCAACCGACAAGCCGCCCGCGAGCTTGTGTCGTGGAGGCGCGGGCGTCGGGATCCGTGGCATGGATGCTCCTGCGTTTTCCGCTCTGGGGCACAGCATGCTGCTTCTTGACGCCTCGGACAGCACTCCTATTTTTGTGTGGCTCAAGTGCATGTTCTAAACTGGAGGTGGGCAGGTTCGAGGCCTCCGACAGCCCTGCCAACCGATCCCCAAGGCTGGAACTCAGGGTCGGAAGCACGCCTGGAGGCAGATCGCGAGGGGACGGCATCCCAAGCGCGAAGGCGTCGCGGTCTCTGTTGGCCCCTGGGCCAATTTGGAGGAGCAGGAGGCCCCCGCTCCCTCCGCTGAGCCTCCCCCCTGTCGGCCTTGGAGGAGGATGCTCACGAGAGGCGCTGGGCTGTCTGGCCCTGCGCCTCCTCTCGGCTGCCACCCGGAGGATCTTGGGCGTCGCTGGCCAGAGCGCCAGAACGCATCATTCCTTACCGCGGAGACAGCGACACTGATTAGGCATTTAGGAGCCTGCTCCATGTTTGTCTGGTCAGATGGTGGGGTCGGGGGTCGGGTCCTGTTCTGGGGTTGCTCCGAGTCAGTACCCGCCCCACCCTACCCTGTGGTGTCTGGCTGGTCTTTGCCTTTTGTTTCTTCTTGTGCGTTGCTGGCTCGTGCCAGCACGCTGCTTCCCTCGCCGCGGTGGCAGCGGCACTGTTCAGACATTTAGTGGGCTGCCCCATATTTGTCTGGGTGTATGGTGGAGTCGTGGGTCAGGTCCTGTTCCGGGGTTGCCCCGAGACAGCACCCGCCCGTTCTAGCCTAGAACGTTTCCGTCCTTGGCTAGAACGTGGCCGTTCTAATATAGAACGGGGTCGTTCTAGTCTAGAACGTCCCCCTTCCTGCCCTGGTGGCGCCAGGCAGGGCGTCGCCTTTTGTTTAAACCTCGCTCAGCCTGTGTGCGCGGGTATAAACTTCGAGCCTGCCTGTTAGAGGTCGGTCTGTGTTTTTGTTGTTTTGCCTCGGGGGTCTCGCCCTCCTCTGGGGTGACGTGCGGGCTGCATGCTGCGCCGCGGAAACAAAAATCCTCCTCCTCCTCCTGCTCCTCCTGCATTCCTTACAACGAGCTTCTCCCTGTCGCACTCCGAGGCCAGTTTTTAGGGCGGGCCCGGCGTTTCGCCTGAGACTTCCTCGCCACTTATGACTCTGAGGTTCAAACGTTGGGAACAATTTCACAGATGGGGGGCGGGTCGTTTTCAAAATGTGGCTCTCGCCTGAGCGCCGCGCACATTCGTTAGAAGAACTGCAAGAACTTCAATCATTCAGGAACACCCGTTTTCAAAATGTGGCTCTCGCCTTCGCGCCGCGCACACTTGCCCTAAATAAAATGCCAGAGCTTCACGGATTGAGGATAACCCGTTTTCTACATGTGGTTCTCGCCGTAGCGCCGCGCACGTTCGTTCAAACAAATGCAAGAGTTTCACGGATTGAGGGCGGTTCCTTTTCAAAATGTGGCTTTCGCCTGAGCGCCGCGCACATTCGTTCATAAACATGTGCAAGCGTTTCACGGATTCCCACGATCAACGTACCAGAAATTGTGCTTTTGAAGGACTCAGGATTTTGCGGGTGCAACGCTTACGTTGATTTGGGGTGTTGAAATTCCAATAATGGCGTTCTGGCACGATCCGGGATCGTCAAGGCGCAACTGTGGAATCCCGAGAACTTCCGGGTCCTCACACGGTTGTCTTCCAACGAGGCAGATCCCTCAATGGAAATGAAGCGTTGTAGGGGCCTATGAAGAGGGAGCTTGGAGGGAGGGTGTATTCCAACATCGTTGATGGCTTTTGGGTTTACACTGGTCCTCCTCCTCCTCCTCCTCCTCTTCCTCCTCCTCCCCGAAGACCTGGGACCGAATCTATACGGGCGATTCCGAACAACCTGGGACGTTGACGTCTCAAACCGTATATCCGACGCCTTCCGCCGGCGTCTCCTGGTCCTCTCCTCTCCTCCCTCTCCTCCCTCCAACCAGAACTGGCAAAAAAACACGGCTCCGGAACTGGAGCCAGAACCATAATCTGGAACCGGCAGAAAAAACGGCGACGGAGCCGGAAACCAAACATGGCGCAAGATCGAGCAACAAAAACAACAGATCGGCACCGAAAAAGCAACTGCTGTGGCGTTTCCTCCTCCTCCTCCTCCTCCTCCTCCTCCTCCTCCTCCTCCTCCTCCTCCTCCTCCTCCTCCTCCTCCTCCCCTCCTCCCCCCCCTCCTCCTCTCCCCCCTCCCTCCCCTCCCCTCCTCCCTCCTCCGCCTCCTCCTCCTCCTCCCCTCCTCCTCCTCCTCCTCCTCCTCCTCCTCCTCCTCCTCCTCCTCCTCCTCCTCCAGAGGAACGGCGACGACAACAACGCCCGCACGGCGGCTCCCGCGTCGCCGCCCTGCCTCGGTCAGGAGCAGGTTGAGCGACTTCAGGTCCCTGTGGATGATCGGCGGAGGGAACCAGTGGAGGTAGTC